TTTGATGTAGTGTTCCATAATTCATTGTTCGCGTATGACACCCAGTGTTTGGTTTTAAATTTTAGCATATCCACTTAATGTAATATTTATGTCTATTTAAACCTGATTGATAGCAAGAATAAGAGAACCTCTCCCTTTTATGCTTCTAGAATTTGTATCTAGATATGCCTTAACAATATTATAGAGAAATGAATCACATGTTCTAACATTCAGTAGGACAACTTTTAGGATAAAATATGATAAATTATTTAAATGCAAATAAATACACATTACTCATAACATAATGATAGTATGGGTATCATAGATTAATTCTATTTTAAACCAGCTTATTGTGTTTTTGCCACATAACAAATCAAGAGTTCTCAAATCCATTCAAGTAAATTATCAAAATCCCTAAAACCTCATTATAATGTTTCTTATTTATCATATTTTACATCAAAGTTCCAGATAAGTCCATAATTTTTCCATTATTCTCAGTAGCCTGAATTTCAGAATAGATGTTTAGATACTGTTCTAATTGTGTTCATATCAGATTCCAAAAAATAAACATGGACAAAAAGGGACTAATGAATGATCAATAACTTAGGGCTCCTCTGCACTGGTGGATAGATAGGAAGGAAAAGTTAAATAATCAAGATAAGGTTATAGATGCTTGGAATGAGGAAATGAAAGAGAAACAGAAAAAGAAAATTGAGGAACGGGAGAAGAGATGGAAATATGGAACGAAAACACAAGGACCAGACTAAAAAATATTTAGGCTTTAGTTCTTAGTCTAGTATCAATTACTGAGTGGTCCCAGGGAATAAAATTCTGTTCTCAGTAATTTAGTATCCTGATTATAAAATGAGGGATAAAGACATTTTTTAAAGATTTTATTTATTTATTTGAGAGAGAAAGAGAGAGTGAATGAGAGAGCACAAGCAGGGGGAGTGGCAGAGGGAGAGGCAGAAGCAGGCTCCCCACTGAGCAGGAAGTCCGACGGTGGGACTCCATCCTAGGACCCTGGGATCATGACCTGAGCCAAAGGCAGATGCTTAACTGACTGAGCCACCCAGGTGCCCCAGGAAAAAGATATTTTTTAGAACTTTCCAGATCTAAAGCAACCAGATCTACTGCAAACCTTCCCAAAGAAAACTTTCCTATTTCAGAGAAATGAGAAGAAACAAAGCACTCTGTAGGTATACCAATAGTGTCTGCATTTAAGTACTAAGTAGAGCTTGGTTCTCAGTGCCTTATGATCATTCATATCTAAATTTCTTACCCTTAATTACACACATATTTTTAAAATACTCCTCCTTCATCAGACAGCCCTGGTGAAACAGACATATAAATAGTTCTTATAAATAATGAGGATGAAAATAGGAAGGAGGGAAGGAAGGAAGGAAGGAAGGAAGGAAGGAAGGAAGGGAGGGAGGGAGGGAGGGAGGGAGGGAGGGGATGACTTAGAGGGCTGACCCAAGAACCACAGAAGGAAGCCAAGAACCACAGAGAACCAATCCCAGGGAGAAGAACTGGGATCCGATCAAAGAACATTCTCTGCCCTTATTATAAGAGATCCTAACAACATTCAGCTGGATTTCAGAATCACAGTGGACCAGTGACAGCTGTGTTCCCAGCCCTTAGGAATGGGAGAATCTTTTACAATTATTCTGTCCCTATCCCATGTGTACTGTGTGTGTGAGGAACAATAATTTATCTTTTTAGTTCTTAGTTGTCCAGGTCAAGAGGAACTTGAGCTATGAAGCTTCATTTACATCTGGACCTGATTTTTAATCGTGCTTTTCTGGACTTCAACATGATGCCATAATGGAATAAATATTTGGGAGGATGTGGGGTTTTGTGCATGAAGGAGGGACATTAATCATGAGAATCCAGAGTGGACTGTGGTGTACCGTCACACTGGCTTTCAGGTATTCACTCCCTTGTAGAGTACCCCCTCATATACTCTTTATTTGGCCATTGAAAACCTCCCTCTAAAGGCAGCCACTGTACTGTAAAAAATCTTAGACCAGATTCTTAAATGATGAGACACCATATACAAAGAATTCTGGAAGAGGAGAGGTCATCTTAGACATTCTAGCTCTGGTCAACCTCACAGCTGAATTCAGCTGCATTAGTGACCTTTGCTTAAAGCAAAAGAACTACCCAGTTGAGCCTTGAGAAATCATAAATCAGTGTGGTTTTAAGCTAGTAAGGTTTGGGTTTTTTCATCTCAATAACAATAGATAATTAAACCATAAGGTTTATTCCTATTTATCTCTACCACTTACCAAAGTGATTAACAGATAAGTAGGTACTCAAAAAAGTTAATAGCTCAAATAAATTAAATGTTCTAACAAAACAGATCAGAAGAAATGTTACGAAGATACTGTTTTTTCTTCTCCAGTTAAATACCCACCCACCACCCCACACACGTATATATCTCACATTACATATGTGACCATATACTATTTGAGCTATGATTTTATTCGTATAAGTTCCACTTAATTGGCCATTTAGCTTACATGTAATTCAGAGATTTGGTCGTAAAATAAGTCATTGACAGATGGCAATAGAATCTGATAAAAATTATCATCAAAGGAAATAAAGAAGCATGCAAAACATCAAAAACAGACACTTAAATAAGTACTCTGAAATGGAGACTGGTGGTAGTGCAAGATACCTCTTTCAAAAAATAAGGTCTACATCCACTCTGGCTTCCTCTGTGTTTGTAAATAGCAATTTGTTGTATTAAATTGGAACCAAGCAGATGCGTGTGTTTTTATTAGTTCTCCATATACTTTATCATGAGTTGATTAGAACCACTACTTTATTTATGGATAAGGAAACTGTGATTTCAAAGTTAATAAGCCATGGATTTAGAATTCAAGCTTAATTCTTCCAATTTCTGCCATCTACTACAAGGAAATGATGAACATTTATACTATACCCACTCTCTTATGTTTCTACAATCAAATAAATTAAAATAAAGGTAACAAGCCACAGAAACAGATGAGTCTACCAGTAGCTCTACACAAGCTGATAATGATTATCATTTGTCTAAAATCATCCTTACCCAACAAATGAAAGAATTTTAAGACATATAAATAAGAATGAAATTCACAGAATAAACACTTTAAGAAAAAACATCTAGCCATCAATAACTGTCACTACCTCTTATTCTGTGATTAATACCATAAAAATACAAATATTCAGTAAAAGCTAATCACACAAGTCCTGAGAATTACTCTTTGTATATTTTAAATTATTTTTTACCATATTTTTTTACCATATTTTTACCAATGAATGCCCAGCTTCTACCTAATTTCCCAAATGTGGTAAAACTACATCATAGTATGTGTAATGTTTTATCCTCAGCTCTTATTACCCTCTTAATCCCACTAATTATTCACATATATTAATTTTTCTTTAGTTTATTTTCCAATGTATAGAAATGTTTTATAAAGCCTCCTCAAAGAATCATTTCTGACTATTCCATTCTAAATCTTTGTTATGGGTGAATAAAAATTGTGAATTCAATCTATATTGATAAACTTAAATGAAACATCTTTTAATAATTAAATAGTGGAGAAAAGCTGATTCATGCTTTATAAAAATTATACTACAGATTCTATGCAAATATTGATATTTTTAGACAACCAAACATAACCATCATTTGAAACTCTAGTGAGTTTCAACATTCAAGAACCCAAGTGTTTTATAAATAGATAAAACCTTTAAAAATTCACAGGTATTTTTTATGACCCTTACATGTATACAAGTATGTTTTTTTCTTACTTTTCTTATTTGTTCTTATTTATCATTTTAAATAACATGAATATAGCATCAACAAAGAAGTCAATAAATTCAATATCCTACAGAAAACAAACTTATAAATCATCCACCATTAAGAGGGAAATATCTGTATTATGTTACTATTTATCAAGCCATAATTTTATTTCTATATTTGTGTTTTGATTACAAGTCCTAAATCCAAACACAATTGACGTATATTATCTTTGTGTAAAATGTTTAAATGTATAAATTTATTAGATTAATAAGCCCTCACAAAATGATTCACATAGAAAGAAAAAATCTTTGATCTTGAAAATTATAGGTATTTTATTATCATAACAATGTGAAAGGTTTGGTTCTAAACTTAATTAGCATTGTGTTTTGTTAATATTTCCTGACAGATCTTACACAAATACTACTATTACAACAACTAAAAGGTAATTTGTTATATGGTGGGAAATTGTACTTACTAGTAGCAAAAGATAGGGGCACCTGGGTGGCACAGTCTGTTAAGCATCCAACTCTTGGTTTCTGCTCAGGTCGTGATCTCAGGGTCCAGGATCGTAACTGTCTCTCTTTCTCCCTTTGCCCCTCCCCCCCGTGCATGAGTGCTTGAGAGAGAGAGTGCTCTCTCTCTCTCAAATAAATATTAAAAAAATAGTAGCAAAAGATAAATTAAGCTCTGACACAATCACCAAACACATAATACCTGCATAAATTATCCTGAATGTTTTGAAACATACATGTGAATTCCTCATTTATTTAAATATAACTTCATCTTATCTAGGTACTATTCAATTACTACAATTCAACATGAAAGAAAGAATTGTTTTCAAACTATCCTTAAATGCCACATTCTCTATAAGTCATCAAACATGAAAGTTGAGCAAATGTCCATTTTGAATCCCTTTTGGTTTTTGTTGCTGCTATTGATGTTGTTTTACTTTATAAAAATTAGGTGAATACAGCCATTCATATGGCTTAACTACTTTATTGAAGTCAATATGGAGGAACACTTGTCATGGTATACAACTTATTTTACATTTTCATGTACCCTTTCTAAGAGGAAAAATAATAAGAAATTATCTTATAGTTAATAATTTCTTCCACAATCAGTTCTGCCAGTAATAGTATTTGAGAATGTATTATTTGAAAATAAATGTTAAAACATTTACCTTTTTAAAACGTCATTTAAATGCATGATAAATTGAGAGTTTCTTTCTTACCATGACAAGAACCTTCGATTTCTTCATATCCTGTACTGCAGATACATCTTCCAAGGGGAACCAGCCAATCTCCATCAGCTCCACAATATAGTTTAGGAGTATCACGCTCTTCCGCACTCTTCACACAAGAGCCCCTTACTTCAACCAAAGAAGAAGAATCAACCCTTGGGATGGTGTCAGGAAACATAGCTAAGTTACGAACAGTGAAGGGGCACTTTTTGTAGAAAACACGGACCGAGACCAGGGCAATGCATGCCCCAATGTCTTGAAAAGCCAGATAAAATCCTTTCCTTTCTATAGGCCCCACCTCACGAATTTCCGTGTTAAGCTTCAGGATACGATCACCCAAATCCATCTGGGTAAAACTTTCATCAGCAGCAATTGTGTCAATCTTTGTATATTGGCTTGGCTTGAATTTAATTCCATGGGACTCATCTGATTCCACATAATACAGATTAAATGTTTCTTTGCAAGTCCCCAAAACCCATGGGATGCTGTTACAATCCCTCAATGTAAACTTCATTTCCACATAAATTTTCTGAGCTGCATCACGGGAGATCCAGTTTGTACGAAGCCAGTTGTTTTGGTTTGGTTCCATTACATTGCATACCTGGTACGTGTGAATGGGCCTATTGTGTTCATCCATTTCAGTGATAGCATCCCACTGCAAGAAGAAAAAAAATCAAATGATTATAAAACCACAGTGGTTAAACAGATATGATTACTTCCAAAATTTTGTTTTAGCAAAGAAATATAAATAAAAAGGACAGAAACAAAGCTATTCAAAGCAACAATGCAGGAGGATTTTAACCATGAACCTCTGGTTAAGAGTGTGGGTTCTGGACATACCAACTGTCCTGGTATGAACCTTGCTTTACTACATATTAGTTGTATGACCAAGGGCTACTTACTTTAACCTCTTGTTTCCTTAACTGTAAAATGGAGCTGATAACAGTACATGTTTCATAGGGTTGTTGTAAGGTATGTTACTTAATACACGTAAAGCAATGTAAATAGTTCCTGGTACACTATACAAATGTAAATAGCATCCATTATATGATCAGAATAAATAGACTGATGACAAACACACTGTGGTTACCCACCTGCCATCATATCCAATCGGCCACAAATTGAGATATATTTAGCAGTATTCAATTAAATACTTACATGTCTATCTGATAGAAAATAGACATAAATAAGGTCATAGATTTATGCAAGAAATATTTATGAGGCACTATTCTGGACACTTGGAATATAGTAGTGAACCAGCTGAACCCTGCTTTTATGGAGCTTACTTCGAGTGAAGAGAGAAGATAAAAACTGTAAATGAGTAAACTGAAAAATATGGTAGAAAGTACAATGGGAAAAATTAAGGCAGGGAGATGGAGAAGAGGGTTGCCACTTTAAATTGGGTGGCCAGAAAACGACTTTCTGAGATGATGACGTTTAAGCAATGTCATGGAGGTGAGAGAGTGAACCTTGTCGAGGAAATAGTAAGTACAAATACCCTTAGCCTGGAGTATACAGGTGTATCTGAGGAACAATATGAATGGGCACTGGAAGCACACTAGGTAACAGGACAGAAAAAGGACAAAAGTAAAGCCTTTATAAAACATTTTAAAAACTTTACTGAGCTGCATCATTGGATTATCTTCACTTCTACATGTTGACATTGAGCATTCTGCCATTTATATGCATATAAAACTTTGTTTATCCTTTTTCACAAATTTAATAATAATCTCTAAGTACCTTGAAATAAACTGGCATTGTCAGTATTTACACATCTAAATATTGATAATTCCAAATTATAAATAGAGAATGTAATTGTATTTTATTTGTATAGTAATTGTGATAATTTTCAATAGATTTAAAAAAACATTCTGGTAATTTTATAGCCTTTTTGGGAAAACATGCCAGTCATCATAGTTTCTCATTTCTATTAAAGTATCCTGGAAATAAACTATTTTCTATAGTGATTAAGTATTTTATTTCTCAATACCATACTTCAGTGATTTGTAAGATTATTTAACAGATCCTGTTTGCAGTTTCTTACTTTAATTGGCTGTAGAGTCACTTAATCAAGACTAGTTGAATTTCACTTAGCAGTTTCTAATAGAATGGCTACTTTCTTCAGTCTACAGGACAGTTATGACACTAACCACTTTCAATATCTACTGTGTATTTCCACGAAGAAAGAATTTATGTTATCATGCAACCTTAAAAATAATCTGCTTCTAAAAATTTTGTTTATAAGTTGGTAACTTGAACTTCATAGGATGTTTTCCAGGAGAAACAATAAGTTCCTTTGGGACTGTGGATGTAATTTTGCAAAACATCCTTGATAAACATAGGAGTTATCCAATAATCTCATGAAGATACATTCAATTACCCATCTAAATGTTTTTCATTCTAGTGATCATGGTCTTACACTTAAACTTAAGGCAAACCACTATCATAGCTCATCTTAAAGGCAAACTAACCATTCAGAATACAAGCAGTGAAGCAAGATGCAAATAATAAAATCTGTAAACTACCAAAATCAGTATCCAAAATTCTAAGGATTTCACCCACTAGAGAACATCAGAGGTACTCAACCAAGGATTATTCCAATTTTAGAAAATTTTCTAATCAGAACTGATTTTGTTTCTCAGGAAATGCATGTAATTATTATGGTCTACACTGCATCCTCTACTCTTCCATATAGAAGTATGGAGCTAGAGCTATATTCTCAATAAATTCTGTTTGAATAATTATATTTTAACACCTTCACACTATACCCCTTCACATTAATAAGAAGTATTAACCATGCTTATCACCATCAATTCTCCCAAAATATCAGATTTAACTAAAATGTCAAAAATTGCCTCTTGTGACAAAAAAATATCCTGAAATCATTTCATATCTTTATTTAAAAATGTGTGGGTTTGGGGGAAAAATGTTTAGATGGAAAGAAAAGTCAGGAATGAGAACAATATAACATACACTCACTGAATCAAAAGTTATCTGAACCAAGGGATGAGGAAATGACAAAATATACACAAAGAATAAGAACTGTGGTTCTTCTCAAAGACACTCCATAAAGATTCTCAATAAAATGGTGCATCATTTTCTGGGTTAAATTTGTGATATTCAATGGTCATTAGTGTTTCTTCTCTCTTTAATTTTTATAAAAGAAGTCAGAATTAGATTTGGGTACCAAAATAGTTAAAACAGATCAGCTGTTAAATTTCACCTTATCCAAGAATATTGAAAGTAACTGAAATTAAATTTTTAAATTTGAATCTAATTAAAACAAGAATATAAATTCAATATTGGTATAAGATCTAGAAGACTATGAAGTTTGCTAAAAATATTAACATAAGCAGATGCAGAATTGGTTTGATATTTTAATCATAATATAGCCTTCAGAAATATTGCACATACACATAGTTATATCTTTGTTTACACAGTCATATAAACTTTTTGTTACAATTTTCAAGTATTAAAATAAGGTCTCTAAAATTGTGGAGTTCACAGTAAGAATGGGAATATGAGGGCTCACAGACCATATTTCTAAATATGTTAAAATGATAAATCATTCTTTAAATCAGATCAAATTCGGGGCACCTGGGTGGCTCAGTTGTTAAGCTGCTGCCTTCGGCTCAGGGCATGATCCCAAGTCCTGTGATCAAGCCCTGCATTGGGCTCCCTGCTCTGCGGGAAGCCTGCTTCTCCCTCTCCCACTCCCCCTGCTTGTCTTCCGTCTCTCGCTGTGTCTCTCTCTGCCAAATAAATAAATAAAATCTTTAAAAAAAAATAAATCAGATCAAATTCTAAGTATGTTCTCTTTGTCTAAGTTGCAGATACATTCATAAAACATGGAGGGTCAGGTTCAAATTTAAAACACTGGGCCTTTGAAAAAACTAACTTTTGGGACTACATCAAAATAAAAAGCTTCTGCACAACAAAGGAAACAACCAACAAAACTAAAAGACAACCTACTGAATAGGAGAAGATATTTGCAAATGACATATATGAAAAAGGGTTAGTAGCAAAAATATATTAAAAAATGCATCTCAACACCAAAAAAAAAAAAAATAATCCAAATAGGCAGAAGATATGAACAGACATTTCTCCAAAGAAGACATCCAAATAGCCAACAGAAACATGAAAAAATGCTCTACATCACTCAGCATCAGGGAAATACAAATCAAAACCACAATGAGATACCCACCTCATACCTGTCAGAATGGCTGAAATTAACAATACAAGAAACAACAGGTGTTGGTGAGGATGTGGAGAAAAGGGGAACTCTCATGCACTATTGGCAGGAATGCAAACTGGTGCAGCCACTGTGTAAAACAGTATGGAGGTTCCTCAAAAAATTAAAAAAGAGAACTACTCTATGATCCAGTAATTTCATTCCTGGGTATTTACCCAAAGAATACGAAACCCCTATGTTTATTGCAGCATTATTTACAACAGTCAAATTAAAGAAGCAGCCCAAGTGTCTATCAATAGCTAAATGGATATAGATATGGTATATACATACAATGCAATATTATTCAGCCATAAGAAAGAATGAAATCTTTCCATTTGCAACAACATGAACGGAGCTGGAGAGTATAATGCTAAATGAAACAAGCCAGTCAGAGAAAGACAAATACCCTATCATTCCACTCATATGTGGAATCTAAGAAATAAAACAAATAAACAGCAGGGGCAAGGGGAAGAGAGCCAACTTAAAAACAGACTCTGAACTATAGAGAACAAACTGATGGTCACTAGAGGGGTGGTGAGTAGAGGGATGGGGGAAAAAGTGAAGGGGATTGAGACTATTCTTAATCTTGATGAGCACTGAGTAATGTATGGAAATGTGGAATCACTATATTGAATACCTCAAACTAATATAACACTGTATGTTACCTATACTGGAATTAAAATTTTAAAATTTTAAATGTAAAATTTAAAAAATCAAATCGAATACTTGTCCTTTGAGTTCTATTTTAGCATGTGTAGCCCATAGAGAGACAGCCCTGAACCTTAGCCAATCCCACTTCTCTTTCCTTCCCTGACTCTAGCTCTACCCCACATCATGAAAGGCTTCACATATGCACATATGAGCATCCCAGCCCTCATGTCCTAGCTGTGCCCCTCTCCTGCTACAAAAAGCTGTCAATTCTGGCCTTCTAATCAACCTAGGTTGAACATACCAGTGGCACAGTACACCCACTGGAGGATGGAGCCCAATAAGAAGCCATGAAGTTCTTACCAGTGAGATCATATGATACATGTCACTGATAGGAATTCTTAAACTCAGGAAACAAACTGAGGGTTGCTGGAGTGGTGGGGGGTGGGAAGGATGGGTGGCTGCGTGATAGACATCGGGGAGGATATGTGCTATGGTGAATACTGTGAATTGTGTAAGACTGATGAATCACAGACCTGTACCTCTGAAACAAATAATACATTATATGTTAAAAAAAAAAAGAAGATAGTAGGAAGGGAAAAATGAAGGGGGGGGAATCGGAGGGGGAGACAAACCATGAGAGACTATAGACTGAGAAACAAACTGAGGGTTCTAGAGGGGAGGGGGTGGGGGATGGGTTAGCCTGGTGATGGGTATTAAAGAGGGCATGTACTGAATGGAGCACTGGGTGTTATACGCAAACAATGAATCATGGA